ATTTAGAGAAGAGCTAACACCGATCCTTCTCAAACTCTTCCAAAAAATTGCAGAGGGAGAAACACTCCCAAACTTATTCTACGAAGCCACCATCACCCTGATACTGAAACCAGAAAAAGATATCACAAAAAAAGAAAATTATAGACCAATATCACTGATGAACTTAAATGCAAAAATTCTGAACAAAATACTAGCAAACAGAATCCAACAGCACATTAAGGATCATACACCATGATCAAGTGGGATTTATCCCAGGGATATCCCAGAATCCCAAGGATTCTTCAGTATACGCAAATCAATCAATGTGATACACCACATTAACTAAGGAATAAAAACCATATGGTCACCGCAATAGATGCAGAAAAAGCTTTTGACAAAATTCAACACTTATTTATGATAAAAACTCACCAGAAAATTGGCAGAGAGGGAACCTCCCTCAACATAATAAAGACCATATATGACAAACTCACAGCAAGCATCATATTCAATGGTGAAAAACTGAAAGCATTTCCACTAGGATCAGGAACAAGACAAGGATCTCCACTCTTGCCACTCTTATTCAACATAGTTTTGGAAGTCCTAGCCATGGCAATCAGAGAAGAAAAAGAAATAAAAGGAATACAAATTGGAAAAGAAGAAGTAAAACTGTCACTATTTGCCAATGACATGATACTATACATAGAAAATCCTAAAGATGCCACCAGAAGACTACTAGAACTAATCAATGAATTTGGTAAGGTTGCAGGATACAAAATTAATGCACAGAAATCTCTGACATTCCTATACACCAACAACGAAAAATCAGAAAGAGAAATTAAGGAAACACTCCCATTTACCATTGCAACAAAAAGAAGAAAATACTTCAGAATAAACCTCCCTAAGGAGGCAAAAGACTTGTACTCAGAAAACTATAAAACACTGATGAAAGAAATCAAAGATGACATAAACAGATGGAGAAATATACCATGTTCTTGGATTGGAAGAATCAATATTGTGAAAATGACTATATTACCCAAGGCAATCTACTATCAAACTACCTATCAAACTACCTATCAAACTATCAAACTATGCAATCCCTATCAAACTACCAATGGAATTCTTCACAGAATTAGAACAAAAAATCTTACAATTCGTATGAAAACACAAAAGACCCTGAATAGCCAACGCGATCTTGAGAAAGAGAAATGGAGTTGGAGGAATCAGGGTCCCTGACTTCAAACTATACCACAAAGCTACAGTAATCAAGACAGTATGGTACTGGCACAAAAACAGATATATAGATCAATGGTACAGTATAGAATGACCAGAGATAAACCTACACACATATGGGCACCTAATTTATGACAAAGGAGGCAAGAACATACAATGGAGAAAAGACAGCCTCTTCAATGAGTGGTGCTTTGGAAACTGGATAGCTACATGTAAAAGACTGAAATTAGAACACTACCTAACACCATACACAAAAATAAACTCCAAATGGATTAAAGACTTAACTGTAAGACCAGACACTATAAAACTTTTAGAGGAAAACATAGGAAAAACACTCTTTGACATAAACCACAGCAAGATCTTTTTTGACCCACCTCCTAGAGTAATAGAAATAAAAACTAAAATAAACAAATGGGACTTAAAAGCTTTTGCACAGCAAAAGAAACCATAAATAAGACAAAAAGACAACCCTCAGAATGGGAGAAAATATTTGCAAATGAAACAGCAGACAAAGGATTAATCTCCAAATATACAAACAGCTCATGGAGCTCAATATCAAAAAAAAAAACAGTGAGCCTACCAAGGAAGACAAACAGATGGCCAAGAGGCACATGAAAAGATGCTCCACCGTCACTAATTATTAGAGAAATGCAAATGAAAACTACAAAGAGGTATCACCTCATGCTGGTCAGAATGACCATTATCAAAAGAGCTAGAAACAATAAATGCTGGAAAGGGTGTGGAAAAAAGGGAACCCTCCTACACTGTTGGTGGGAATGTAAATTGATATAACCACTATGGAAAACAGTATGGAGTTTCCTTAAAAAACTAAAAATAGAGCTACCATATGACCCTGCAATCCCACTACTGGGCATATAGCCCGAAAAAACCATAATTCAAAAAGAGACATGCACCGCAATGTTCATTGCAGCAGTATTTACAATAGCCAGGATATGGAAGCAACCTAAGTGTCCATTAACAGATGAATGGATAAAGAAGATGTGGCACGTATATACAATGGAATATTACTCAGCCATAAAAAGAAATGAAATTGAGTTATTTGTAGTGAGGTGGCTGGACCTAGAGTCTGTCATACCGAGTGAAGTAAGTCAGAAAGAGAAAAACAAATACTGTATGCTAACACATATATATGGAATCTAAAAAAAAAAAAACCAAAATGGTACTGATGAACCTAGTTGCAGGGCAGGAATAAAGAGGTAGATATAGAGAAAGGACTTGATTACATGGGGTGGGAGGGTGAAGCTGGGGCGAAGTGAGAGTAGCATTGACGTATATACACTACCGAATGTAAAATAGTTGGCTGGTGGGAAGCAGCGGCATAGCACAGGGAGATTGGCTCGGTGCTTTGCGATGACCTAGAGGGGTGGGATAGGGAGGGTGGGAGGGAGGCTCAAGAGGGAGGGGACATGGGGACATGTGTATGCATGTGGCTGATTCGCTTTGTTGTGCAACAGAAACTAACACGGTATCGTGAAGCAATTATACTCCAATAAAGATGTATTAAAAAAATTAATACAAATAATCTAGATAAATTTGAGTTTTAAATCTTAGTGACTAAAAAATATCATGGAAGTTATGTACTTTTTTAAAAACCTTTTTTATTGGAGTATAGCCAATTAACAATGTTGTGATAGTTTCACGTGCACAGCACAGTGACTCAGCCATACGTATGCATGTATCCATTCTCCCCCAGACTCCCCTCCCATCCAGGCTGCCACATAACATTGAGGAGAGTTCCCTGTGCTATACAGTAGGTCCTTGTTGGTTATCCTTTTTAAATATAACAGCGTGTACATGTTCCTAGACCTCATTTGGACCTTGCTTTTATTTTAAAACTTTTATTATGGAAAGTTACCAACACATGCAAAAGTGAGAGGGCTGTATAATGCAGGCCAGTTTAACGATGGCCTACATATGGCTCATCCTGATCTGGCTCCGTCGTCTCCCGCTTTCCCACTCACTGGATGATTTTAGAGCAAACCTTAGGCATTGTAACATTTCGTCTGTACCTTCTTCATTTGGTCGTTCAGTATGGAGCTTGTGTCCTATTTTTTAACATCACTATATTTTACATCAGTGAAACGTGTGCTTTATGAAAATTTAAAATAATGAAATGTTATGTAACCATTAAAATGATATTTTTGACATGGGAAGTTATCCTTCATAGTTTAAGATAATTAAAATCCCAATGGAATGAATGTTCCATTCTGTAACACACACAGAGTCAGAAAGGGTGTGTATCAGGTCACAGTTTCTTCTTCTTTTTGCTCATTTTTCCTCTGTTTTTTTCAATAAACATGCATCATTTTTGTAACAGAAAGAAAAGAGCCCAAGGGTTTAAAGTCATTCATAAAGACAGTGTGATAGGGGCTTCCCTGGTGGTGCAGTGGTTGAGAGTCCGCCTGCTGGTGCAGGGGACACGGGTTCGTGCCCCCGTCCGGGAGGATCCCACGTGCCGTGGAACAGCTGGGCCCATGAGCCATGGCCGCTGAGCCTGCGTGTCCCGAGCCTGTGCTCCACAACGGGAGAGGCCACAACAGTGAGAGGCCCGCGTACCGAAAAAAAAAAAAAAAAAAAAAAAGACAGTGTGATAGATTGGAAAAGGGATGTTGAATTCTACTAGTTAGGTTGTGGGATGATGTGCCAAAGAAGACGAAATGGCCACTGATGTGTGTGTGTGTGTGTGTGGGGGAGGGAGTGGTCTCCTTAATCAAACTCAGTGGTAACAGGAGTAAAAGTGATTAAGATTTTTCAGTTTAACACGTTTTATGAAGCACCCGCTTTGAACCAGGCATTGTGCTACTTGTTGGGATTACAACTGTGAAACTAGAAAGGGAGCAAACACGTTAGACTCTTATTACTCCAAGCATGGTCCAGTGATCAGCATCACCTGGGAGCTTGTTAGAAATTCAGATTCTCAGGCCCCGCCCCAGACTTAATGAATCAGAATCTGTTTGTAATCAACTCGGTGGGGGGGGATTCAGATGCACATTAAAAGTCTAAGAAGTGCTGGGCTAGAGCAGGACAGCCTTGACTCCTGGGACTGTGTCTCATTGGTTTCTGCCTTCAGCCTCACTCAGAGCCTGTTCAGAGGAGGGAATGGTGGAGAGAGAGGCCAGGGGTACAAACTGGCACTTGAAGTGGGTTCCTGATGGGCCCATGGTGACCAGGTGAACGGATGATCGTCCTTACACACTGTTCCCACTCCTGCCCCACAGCCTTTCTGACTCACCACTGCCAAGGAAGCATCTTCAGACACCTTGGCCAGGCATTCGAGGCCCAGGACAGAATAGGCCTATTCTACCAATCTCTTTATTCTTGAACTTCCATCCATCCTCTCAACACTGTGCTTTGTCCCCACCATCAGCAACTCAAAACATTGGTTCGCATCTTCCATGTTCTTTAAAGCTCAGATGCCATGCCATCTCCTTCAGGAAGCCTTCCAGGTTTACATAACCAGCGGAATCTCTTCCTTCTCCATACTTTGGCAGGGCCTACCGTTGATGCCATTCGCTGGTCCCTCATGCATGTGCTGCTGCATATAACCTTAAGCTCCCACAGCCTCAGTCTCCTCACCTGTAAGATGGAAATCCCAGTTTCTTCCTTACAGGGAGTCTTGAGGATAAGTTGAGAAGTGGATAGCCAGCACTTAAGATGATGTCTGTCCTAGTATATTCTAGGAACTGTTCTAAGCTTATTAATATCAGAAAAAACATTGAACTTCATGATAATTCTATGAGGTAAGTACTATTATTCTCCTTATTTTACAGGTGAGGAGACAGAGACACAGAGCGATTGATGGACTTGCCCAAGGTCACCACAGCAAGTGAAGGGGAAAACAGAGGTAAGCTCAGGTGTCTAGATGTCTACCTAACTCAGATGTACGTACTGTGGTTTTTATGTGTGTATGATAAGAACACAACATGAGATCTACTCTCTTAAAGTTTGAAGTGTATAATATGTTATTGTTAACTATGGGCATGATGTCGTATGGCAGAGCTCTAGAAGTTATTTGTCTTGCTTAACTGAAGCCTTATACCTGTTGAATGGCAACTCCCCATTTCCCTCTCCCCCAGCCTCTGGAAACCACCCTTCTGCTCTCTGCTTCTCTGAGTTTGACTATTTTAGATGCCTCATATAAGTGGAATTATACAGTATTTGTCTTCCTGTGGCTCGCTTATTAGCACAGCCTCAGTTGTGTTCATTTTGTCTCACATGGCAGGATTTCCTTATTTTTCAAGGCCGAATAATATTCCTTTGTATGCATGTAGAAATTGGAACCCTTGTGGTTGGGAATGTAAAATGGTGCAACTGCTATGAAAAATAGTATGGAGGTTCTTCAAAAAATTAAAAATAGAACTACATGTGATCCAGCAAGTCCACTCCTGGGTATTTGTCCCAAAGAATGGAAATCAGGATCTCAAAGATATATCTGTGCTCCTAAGTGTTCATTACAGCGTTATTCACCATAGCCAAGATGTAGAAACAATCTAAGTGTCCATCAACGGGTGAATGGATGAACACACTCTTAAATGCCTGCTTTTGGTGGTTACTCAGCAACGGGGCAGCAAAGATGGTTATTTCTGTCCCTCTGTCCCTGCCTCCCATTGCCGAGCCCTGATATAGTTGCATAAATTGGTGCATGTTGGTTACATGCTTTTCCTCTCAGCAAGCTCGTCTTCAGCAGCTGCGGTTTGGCTGGAAAAGGCGCCCTCTCCATCCCCACTGGCCGGCTCAGACGTCTTGGGACAAAGACACATCCATGTGTTCTTGTGAGGAGTTGTGGCCTTCTTCATGGCGTTTTCCAGCAGCAGACAGATGGTCCCAGTGTCTCACTGCCCACCCATAGCATTAGTGGTTCTTCCTGGTCCTCAGACCTGGCTAGATGATGGAAATCAGGAAAGAGCCCTGGATGTGGAGTTAGGAGACCTAGGTTAGAGCTCCTTGATTTAGATGCTGCGTGCCTGTCATTTAAGCCTCTCTGAGCCTTATTACCTTATCTATAAGATGGGGAGCACAATATCAACGTCACAGGGTTGTTCTGAGAGTTGAACGGGAGCATGGAGAGAAAGACCCTTCAGACTACCGGTGTTCAAAGCGAAACCCAGTAGAAGGTGAGGACATTGAGTGCAGAATCCACAGGCAGGTTTGGGGTTTTTTTTGCACACTTTTTGGCCACACCCTGTGGCATGTGGAATCTTAGTGCCCTGACCAGGGATCGAACCTGTGCCTCCTGCATTGGAAGTGTGGAGTCTTAACCACTGAACCACCAGGGAAGTCCCCACAGGCAGTTATTGAAGGTAACTTTGTGTGTTCCTTCTTTTGCTTGAAATTAGATCCCAAATAGAGTTCTGATGACTAGTCTCCATAATTTATTTAAATAACTACATACTATATCCTTGAGCTGATGTATCTCAATTACCATTTCTATTAGAAAACAATATATTGAACATCCTTAAGTATTTTTTTTTTTTTTTTTTTTTAGTTGTAACTTAGGATAAATTCCTAGGAGCGTGATTATGGGGGTGGGGTGGGAGGATGTTATGCTCGCTATTCTGATTCTTTGAGTGTGTTTTCTCATTGCTCTCTTATAAATCTTGCCATAACTTCACTAGCATTGTTTTTTTTTTTTTTTATTTATTTTATTTTTTTTATTTTGCGGTACGCGGGCCTCTCACCGTTGTGGCCTCTCCCGTTGCGGAGCACAGGCTCCGGATGCGCAGGCTTAGCGGCCATGGCTCACGGGCCCAGCTGCTCCACGTCATGTGGGATCTTTCCAGACCGGGGCACGAACCTGTGTCCCCTGCATCGGCAGGCGGACTCTCAACCACTGCGCCACCAGGGAAGCCCTAGCATTTTAACAAAAAACACAGAGCGGGTATCACCAAGTCAGCTGAATACCTTTCCCATACTCATAATATTGCACTTATCACATCAAATGGTAAACGATTTAGTGTTCAGTCTTTCTCCTGGCCCCCACCCAGATGTGAGCCCCAGGAAGTCAGTCTATGCTTATCTGAAACAGCTGGAACATTGTAGGTTTACAATCATTGTTTGTTGAAATCATCTCTTTCGTCTTGCTGAACACCGTGGTCACCTTACAGTGTGTTGAAATAAAACTTAAAATTAGCTTTGCCCTGGGATGGTGAGTGTTGGATTGGAACCAAGGCTCTGTTGGACTCTGAAGTTCTAGGGAATGGAATCTCAGGTTTATCAAAGCCGAGCTGCATTCCTAGGAGGAGGGGTGGGCGAAGCCTCCCAGCCTGATGTTTTGCAGAGGAAATTTGGGTCCATAACCCAGTAAACTGATTACAGATAAGATAGTTCCCATCAAAGGCTGATGCAGGCTGGGAGGGGGTCGGCAATACACGTACCGCGTGATTTAATCAAATGCAGTCCCTGGTCTAAAGAGACAATGGCTGAAAATACAACCTGGATATTATTGCAAAGAGGGGGGCTGTTTGTAGATGAGGGTTTTTAGAAACTTCTTTTAAGCTGAAAACCAGAGGGAGATACGGGCTCCGCTGATGAGGAGGCTGTGTGTAAAGAGTGCTTGTGCCGTGGTTTCTGGAGGGACGATGGAGGAGCTCGGGAGGCTGGTGGGAGGATGAGGGATGCCAGTCTGAGCTCTGTTGGACGGTACTTTGAAATAACAAAGAAGAGATGCTAGATATGTTGCAGGAAAAAAAAAATAAAGCTAGGGAGGGCTGGCTGCCAGGTACCAGGAAGCGCGAGCGGAGAGGGTGATGAGGGAAGGAGGGCACTTGTGGGGCATCTCCTGCTGGCGTGGGGAGCGGGGCACAGCCCTCTGCTTGAGACATCACCTCTGAGGTCACACTGAGGGGGCGTGCAGAGGGGACAGGCAGCCTGCGGGAGGCCCCATCCATCTGCCTCAGCCATGCACCCTCCACCCTGGCCTTCTAAGCCCTGGGCTCTTTGTGTACCAGCTGGGCTTTTGCCAAAGCTCTCTTCAGTGGTTGCTTCACCTCCTTCTCTCTTTCCAACCCTTCATCTTTCTAGCTGCTGCCCCGAGTGAGTGACCTTTCAAAGAAATGCATCATTTCTCCACTGAAACACATCACATCCTTCCCCATCCTTCCCCACCACGAAGTCTCTTGGGTGTGGCATTCCAGGCCTCCCACAGCTATTCCACAGGGACCTTTCTTTTTCTCATCTCAGCCAAGTCACCCCACCCCAGGTTTCCTCCCCTTCAGGCTCCTGTGAGGGTTTCCTTTTCTCAGACCTATATGCTTTTGTATAAGTGATTCTATCATCCTGGAATTCTCTCCCCCACTTGTCTACGTAGAAAATTCCCACTCATCCTTCAAGGACCGGTTCCAAAGCCCCCTGACTTACAGACACTTCTTTGTTCCCATTTTAACACGAACAGAAATAGTTACGTTAAAGGAATGAAGATCTCACTACCCAATGGGATAAAAGGTGGAGAGCAAAAGGCATAGGAAAAAAGGACACGGACACAGAGTGACTATTCTGTGCTTGGCAATTCACAGAGCTGGTCATATTTTGACATTTCTAAGACACTTAAGAACTCGAGGAAACTGTGGGCCCAGGTGGTGAAGTGACCCACTTGAGGTCACCCAGCTGGCATGGAGCAGGGCTGGGACTGGAATCCACATGTTCCAGACTCCAAGGCCCGTGGACATTAGGTAGTGTCCTCAGCAGCCCTGAGAGTATGGTCTGGAGGCCCCGCTTCTTCCCCCAGTGAGGATGGCAGTGGGGAAAAGAAGTGTAGACCTAGGCTCCAGACTTTGACACTCACCTGCTCCTTTCAACCTCAGTCCCCTCATCTGGAAAATGGGCATTTGGGCAAAATGACACTTAAGGTTTTTTCTTCCCACATCTGTAGTTGCTGATCAGGTTGGTAAGATGAGATTAAAAATGGCCTAAACTGAGGGCAGGGGCTGGAGGTCTGGCCCTAACTCTTTGAACTCCCTTCCTGTGTGACTTTCTGAACTCCTATTTGCCCATCTTACAACAGGGCACGTGGGTGAGATGTCCTCCAGGGCACCTTCTATGTCAAATGTATGGTGCTTTAAGGCAAACCAGAGGCCCCAGAAATCTGTGATCTAACCCACCTGGTTTCTTCTAGTCTACATACAAGCTGAGTTGGGCTGCTCAGTTATTTCCTTCCTCACAGTTAAATTCTTCAACTCTGGAAGGTAGGCGGATAGCTTAGGGTGGAAGCATACACTCTACCATGGGGATTAGAAGGCTTTGGTTTCTGTCCGGATTCTACTGCAATCTGTGTGAACATGGGTTAACTACTTTCCCTCTCTGAGCCTTTGGAGTTCCTTTTCCTGTGAAGAGGAAGTAGATAGTCTAGATGGGCTTTTTCAGCAAAACCATTATTGGATTTTGAATGGCATGTAGAGATTCTTGCACAGCACAGCCAAACACAGATAAAGAAGAGGGACCCAGGGGGGTCCGGACTCCAGAAGTCATTTGGGATCTACCCGAACATGGTTCTGTCACAGCATCTGAGGGAGATCTTCTCCTCAGCCTTAGCGAAGGCTTTGACATGATACATTGAGGGTGCCTGAGTCCACATGGGCGTGAGAACTGGATACCAACTTGGGTACAAAGAACCCCTTCCTCCTTACCAAGGATTTCAAAAGACCATAAATATGCAGCGGGGGTAGAGATAGAAGCGATCACTCAGACAACATTCCTATTCTTTCAAGTTCTACAGATTGTCTTTTTTACACCCAACACAGTTCTTGTCACACTCACTTTTTCCGCAAATGTTTATTAAGCACCTACTCTGTATCCCGAGCACTCTTTTAGGTTGTGGGACTGCAGCAGAGAACAGAACAGACCGAGATC